CTCAGTTCTTCTTATGGTTGCAGGTGTGGTAAGTAGTCAAATATTGTATTAGATGTAATGTACAGTACTGTCCATTTTTATATTATTACAGGTATATTATATTATTTTACTTTTTTAAGACTGTAGCACATAACCAGCCAAATGCCCAGATTTTAGCATATAAAATTTTATGCTTCATCTTTGTGATATTTATCCACCAAAACTTCCATAGTTCATAATATATCATAATTCAACTATTTTTCAGAAATTTCCATCCTCAAAGTTTGCACTATCCAAAATTGCTAATGGCTATGTGTTGTCTGTAAGAATGGTGTTGGTAGCATCAGTAATGTGCAGTGAGTGTGGAAGGTGGGTACACAAGAGGTGCAGTGGTGTGGATGGGAGACTGCAGGATGTTGTTGACTTTAAATATTTTGTACCTGTATGTGCAAATAACCACATGGGTGGATCCAGGGCGGGGGTTCCCTTTTCAACAGAAAATTCCAATACTTTTTCTTTAATGCAGTATTGTACTCAGGCATTTTTGTATTGTAAAAGTATTTACTATTGATTTTAGAATATCTCCTAATATCAAGTGCACATAGCCTCAAAATGTACATGATATTGGTCAGATTTAAAACATCTTCTGGGGGGCTTACAGGTAAATTAAAGAGATACTGTAAATTTCACATTTAACCCCATTCATATCTGCAGGCGTTCGTAAGTTGGACGTTCGTTAGTCGGGGATCCCTGTACAGTATTGTAGTGTATCTAGTTTTCGAGATACACTACATGTTCTGGAAAGTGTACATGTGATAATGATACATGTTTGAAAGCTAGGAGACCTCATTACTGTTTTGTGATTGATGACAGTGTTTATCCAAGAAAAAACAGTTTAAAACTTTGAATATACCCAACAAATATTTTTAAGATATTTTGGATATATGTCTTGCCAATTACTTTTCAGGTTTTTGTTAGTTTGGAAGACCTCAACCTTGAAAGTTCAGTTGTGCCTGTTGGTGTGGTATGGTCAATAGCTGGAGCTATTCTTTATGCCTGTTACATGGTCTTCCTGAAGCACAAGGTTCCAACTGAAGATCGTATGGATTTTACTATGTTCTTTGGTAAGTGAATTAATTTCCTCTCCTTTCCCTTCTATCATCTCTCTCTCCTCTTCTTTGCACTCTTCCCTCCCCTCCCCCCATTCCATGCCCTTAGTACCCAGTTAGCTCTGGGAGATTTATTGATCAATCAGATATTGTTTTAATAATAATAAAAGCTGGCACTTTTGAGAAACAAAAGCTCCAATTCTTCCAAGTAATTCACTAGCGCTCAAAATTTCACAAGTCAAAGTTCTGAGAATAAAAAAATAAAAATAAAAATATAACAAAAATCACAAGAAGTGACAGTTCATTAATCCTTAAGTTGTATCACTTCCAAAGCTCTTTTCAGGATCATGTGCTTTCAAAATAAAAGAAAGGTCTTAAGTTGTTTCTTAAAAGCCTCCACAGAAGTCAGCTGCTTCATGGATGCAGGCAAATGATTGTACAATCTGGGTGCGATATAGGAAAAGGATTGGGCCACAAAAGAGCATTTCCACAATGCTCTAGGTCAGAGGATTTAGTAGGTTGGACAATTACTTAGGCTCATCAAACATAAGTGCCTTAAAAGTCATTAGGCAGAGTTTGAACTTTTTTCTTTCTTTAATTGGAAGCCAGTGCAATTCGATTAAGAATAGGGTAGTGGAAGTCCCCAGTAGGAGAGCACATGTAAGCCTGGCATCCTTTTTCACCACCCTGAACTTTTTTCACTAGATAATTAGGTAGGCAAACCCATAAAGAGTTAAAATAGTCAACCCAAGACAAAATAAGTGAATATAAGTGCCACAAGACACTGTCTATCTAAAAACTGTTTCACAGCCGATAGATTTTGAATATGAAAGTTGCAACTGAGTTTCTATGCTCTTTAACCTTTTAGCTGAATGAATTCTTCTGGCATTAGCAGATGCTTCCCCAAGGTATACTAGAGACTGTCAATTGATTGAAAATGTCCAAAGGAGGGCTACCAGACTGGGGCCTACTCTACAGAACCTCAAATACTTAGAGAGATTAGAACGCCTGCAACTACCTAGCTTATACTACAGACGGGCGAGAGGCGACCTAATCAATGTGTATAAACACCTCAGGGGGCACTGCTTGGTCTAATGTACATACCTGGAGCTGGCGGACGTCCGCCTCACAAGGGGTCACAGCTCAAGGTTGAAGAAGCCACAAGTCCATAAAACTGTGAGGGCAAACATGTTTGGAGTGAGAATTGTGAATTCGAGGAACAATCTACCCGAGAGTGTTGTGACGGCACTGAGTGTGAGCTCATTTGAGACCAGATTTGACCAACATTGGAGCAGGTTCCGATATACTCAGGAGTCAGTGCATGCCCAGTATTCGCCAACAGTACATAACAGAGATGTGACCGACTGCCCAAGCTGCTAATGAGCCAATCGGTAGCAAAGAGGATAAAAGTAAAAATAAAATGAATATAGTACCTAAGTGTGGGGCTGCCCTCTAAAGGGTTAATCGAGATAGACTCTAAAATTCAGTTTTGAGTCAAAGTATACATTCCAAGATTATGAGCAGAATTGACAGGATTGAGTTGTACTTCTCCAAAGTTTAAAGAGCCAAAATCATCTGTGCTGTAACCCCTCCTATTTCCTTGGATGACGATAATCTCGGTGTTGCCATCATTCATCTTAGGTTTTCGTCTAGCCATCCATTTTTTAATATCAGACATCAAGAATTTCAATATCTCTCAATATCCTTGACATTTATCATTTGGACATAAAGCTGTGTATCATTGGCATAGAAATAGTAAGGCAACACCATGAACATCCTGTAGGTTATGTATATAAGCTACTGTGCCAAGTAGCAACCCTGTACATAAGCTACTGTGCCGAGTAGCATTTATATATATAATCACGTGGCAACACTGCACGTGTTATGTGGCAACATTGCCCCGAGGCTGCCATATGGCAAGGCAGCTTCAGTCTGACTGTGTGAGCCGTGCATGGCACACGCGAGTCACCACTTGTATTTCTCTCATCCACAATAAATGGACTCAGTGTTACTCAGTGTTTCCCTAGCCATCACAGCATTCTTCAGGGCACACTAGTAACTTTCATGGCGCAGTGTCAAGGATCTGTGGACTTACAAAGTGTGTGAACAATGCCGACAGTTACGTCTGCCGGTGATGCGCGTCGACTCAGTGTGTTGTGTTGTGTTGCGCTGTGTTTCGCCGTGATGTGCAGTGTTGCGCCGTCACAGTGCGTTTTAGTGACAGTGGCAGTGTTAGTGTCAGTGTATTAGTGTGTGTCTAGAGCTAAGTTGAGCATTGGCCTGTTTTTTTGTGGTACCCACGGAGCACGCAGGCGCACACCCTTCTCGTGCGACATCCGGGGGACACTGACGGTCTTGCCGGACCACGCAGCTGTCCACGCTCCCTCCGCTCTCTCAGACACACACACGCACGCACGCACGCACTCACTCACTCACGGACAGAACAGTGGACCTGGACCATAAGCGTGATTTTTGCGCTGTTTATGTCTTATATATGTGGTTCGAGCTGTTGAGGCGCCACTTTATATATTAAACAGTGCAGTCCACGCACACACAAAGATGGGAGGTAAGAAGGGACAACGTCAAGATGGGAGACACGACTCCCCACCACCTTCTCCTCCACCGGGCGCAGACTCTCATCCTCCACCTCCAGTGACGGACATCGCCACAATTCTGAAGTGGATGGACGACCGGGACGAGCGACGTAGAGAAATGGAACTTCAGAGGGAGGAGACACGAAGAGAGGAGGAAAAGTTGCGTTTTGAGGCGCTATTGGCGACCCTGGCGCTAACCCACCCTCCCTCACTTGCAGGTAGCGCGCTTCAAGGCGCCAGTACACTCCCTCCTCCACCACACCAGCGTCCTCCAGGTACTCTTGCTACCCCAACAGCTCCCAAGGCATCTGTTCAACCCCCACCCGCCCTCTCACCAGACGTCACGTTTCAGCTTTTTCGTGAGTGGAGGCGGCGTTGGACAGATTACTCCACGATGGTGGACCTTGACAGCATGCCTCCAAACAAACAGCTCATCCAACTGCGGATGTGTTTGTCGCTGGAGACCCAGAGAGTTTTGGAGCACACGTTGCAAGTGCCTCCCGATTCTACCTCTTCAGTGACGGATGTGCTCGACCTTTTACAGGAGCATGTTAAGGGTCGGAACAACGAGGCTTTGCGTCGCCGTGCCTTTACCAGCTGCAAGCAGGCGGAGAACGAATCCTTTGACGACTTTTTTGTACGTTTGAAGAGTTTGTCGGAGGAGATCGACGTCTGCAAGGCGCACAGCCGGGAATGTGAGGAAGCCTGGATCAAGCACGGGATCTTGACAGGTGTCAGGCACGAAGAGTTGATGCAGCGACTCATCCCCCTGGACGCTTCCTCCACACTCCAGGTGGTAGTGACTGAATGTCGGTCATACGAGGCCACCAAGTCCGCCACCTCTGCCTTACGGGCCCCACCTGCTGTGAGAGCTATCTCACAATACAAGAAGGATAAGAAGGCGGCCAACAACGCGAAGGCTGCCACACGTTCTTCCACGCCTCCGCCTAGTGCTTCCTGTGGCAGCTGTGGAAAGCAGCACAGCCCCAAGACTTGCCCGGCCGCCGACGCACTGTGTCGTGGATGTGACCGTAAGGGCCACTGGTCTAACACAGACTGGTGCCCTGCACGAGGCCACAAGTGTCAGGCCTGCGGTCGCTATGGACACTACGACAAGTGCTGCCGCCAACCCAAGCCCAAAAGCCCGAGACGAGGAGGACAGCAGCGCACTTCCCTCGGGGTGGTTCGCACGCAGCCCCCTCCAGATGGCCCACGCAGCCCCAAGCAGCAGCGGAGTCACATCAGGAGGGTGGAATCGACCACACGCCCCAGGGCTACCCCTTCCCCTACTATCCGCGTCGCCGTCACACACGGTGATGTGTCGGGTCACATCGAGGTGATACCGGACACCGGCGCCGATACTACGGTGATAGGCCTGAAGCACCTCCAGAAACTGGGCCTCACCAAACGCGGCCTGGGACCACCGCCGCAGCTGCAGTACTACAATGCGGACGGTTCCCAGATGCCGGACGCTGTGGGCTCCTTTCAGGCAGAGATCACCTACGGCGACAGGTCGTGTTACTGATGGATCGACGTGCGGCCTACTCTCGCTACACCCTTGTTGTCGTGGGTGCACTGCAAGGAGTTAGGCGTGGTGCCCAGAGACTTTCCTGAGCAGATCCCAACTGCTCGGTACACCGCCAGCAGGGTGCGTGAGTTAACGAGCGACGCGCCTGGCACTGCCACACAGAGCTGCCCAGAACCCGCATCCACTCCCACCCACACAGGACGCTCCCCTGCCCAGATCCTGTATGGTCACCCTCTCCGCTCTTGTGTTCCTACACACGCCAAGGCCTTTGCGAAGGACTGGCAGACCAAAGCCGAGAGCTGCGACCGCCGCGCCGCTTCACGTGCCCAGGACGCCAAAGCTCGGTATGACGACCGTGCCCGCCCTCTTCAGCCACTGGAGATTGGTGCCCTTGTCTGCGTCTGGGACCCGACGACGACACGTTGGGACAAGGTGGGCATAGTGATGGGCGTCGGCCGGTCGCGGGACTACAAGGTCAGGATGCCGAGCGGCCGTGTCTGGTGGAGGAACCGCCGCTTCCTCCGGCCAGTCCCACCCCCTACTGCTGGCCCCCTGACCGAGGACGAGTCACCTACACCTCACGAGGATCCGCCCCACAGTGCACCTCGACACTCGGAGCGACTTAGGACTAAGAAGTCCGCTCAAGACAAAGACTATGAGCGTGAGGGGGGAGGGAGATGTAGGTTATGTATATAAGCTACTGTGCCGAGTAGCAACCCTGTACATAAGCTACTGTGCCAAGTAGCAACCCTGTACATAAGCTACTGTGCCGAGTAGCATTTATATATATAATCACGTGGCAACACTGCACGTGTTATGTGGCAACATTGCCCCGAGGCTGCCATATGGCAAGGCAGCTTCAGTCTGACTGTGTGAGCCGTGCTTGGCACACGCTGGTCACCACTTGTATTTCTCTCATCCACAATAAACGGACTCAGTGTTACTCAGTGTTTCCCTAGCCATCACAGCATTCTTCAGGGCACACTAGTAACCTACACATCCAGCAAAATTACAAAACTACTGGTATGGACTGTAAACAGAAGTGGTCCCAAAACTGATCCCTGTGAGACGACAAACTGCAAAGGGACCGGGTCTGAAACGGTTCCACCAACTATCACACATTGAGATCACTCTGACAGATAAGACTCAAACAGTGAGAATGCATCATCATGGACACTGAATGACCAAAGATCCTGAAGCCATGCTGCAAATGCTGCAGAGAGATCCAGTAGGGCCAGGAGGGAGGACTTTTCTGTGCAAGTGTTTATTACCAAATCATTATGAATTCAACATAGGCAGTTTCAGTTGAATGATGCAACCTATAGGCTGACTGGACCAGATGGATCACTTGCTTCTCTCTAACAGAGAAAGTAACTAATCCAGCATAGTATGATCTCTGATGAAAATGAGACTTGAGACTGGATGACTATAATTTTACATATTTTCAGTATCAAGACCAGAAGTGGATGTAATAAAGCCTGTTTTTCAGATCACACAAAATTACCCTCTGAAAATCACATATATATGATTCTACAAATAAAGTCTGCAGTATGTTCATAAGAGAGTGATACCTTAAATACATTTGTAAGATCACGACAACAAAGTCTTCTTCAAATCCTTGATATAGTGCAGAATGTTGTTCACCTCTGTAAGACAAAATGATGAAAGAGTGAGTTCTATTGTGTAACTTGGTTAAAAATAACTGAAAATTTCTCATCTAAAGAAACACAATCAAGGTCACATGATATCTTTGTCATAAAAACCTTAGGAAACATCTGAGGCAAGCTGACCATTTGAAGTGGAACAAAGCATAGTAATTCCAGACCTTTGGCCCAACAGCCCATTCATAACTGTATATATTTTTTTCTGGTCACTGCCACATGAGGCCACTTGACTTCTGTAGTATACAATATTCAGCGTTGTGTGCCCACACTGAACAAACAACAGCCGTACGCACAGTCATATTATGTACTCTGATCTAGTACGGTCTTTTCACTGCCTGTGCTTCTCTCATTCAGCACTTCTACGATCCATACAAAGTGAACTTATAGAGGAGTCATTCCAACGAGAGTCATCTCGTACTGTAATTTTCTTTGCCACCTCTGGACAATAATGGTTTGAAATGGACTAGAAGACATCATTATGTAATATCAGCATCTCCTCAAAGGGCAAATCAGAGGAGTCGACCCAGTTCAAAGAATGATCAACTCCCTGATCCATCATGATCTGGTCAATGTTTTTATAGTTCTTGAAGGTAATACTTTAGCAATATAGCTGTACAGTAATATGAAATGATAACTTAACCACTCTCCTATTACATTTACCAGGTAGTCATAAGCTAATACAATTGTGTTGTCATTGAATTTCTAACTGTCACATCGTATTCATATGCCATACTTCAGTTACTTGGCAGGCATTGTATTTACTTCTTCATGGGAATTCACACCGTTAAACTGTCAGAACACAACACTAACACAAAGAGAGGATTCTTATTTTTCAGGGAGAGATAATTTTGCTTTATTCTGTACAAATTTATTGCCTTCAGTTATTCGGGTGTGAATTATTAAAGTGTAATGATTTTAACTTCTTGAAATAAAACAAAATTTGTGGCACAGTTGGTGTAGGTACTGTAGATAGATAGGTTGAATGTATTGGTCTTTTTAATTTGTTTTCTTATTAATATTTTTTTTTCTCCAGGATTTGTGGGCTTTTTCAATACCATCATTCTGTGGCCCGGGTTCCCCCTGTTGGATGTTTTTGGATGGGAGACATTTCAGTTGCCAAATCTGCAACACCTGTTCTACATGTCTGTTAATGGCTTAGTAGGAACTGTCCTGTCTGAACTTCTTTGGCTTTGGTTAGTAATGCTTTATCAATTAAACCATTTATAACAAAGTATTGATATTGTCAATCTCATTTATGAAATTTGATTAATATGTCCAGAATTTTTATGGTTGGGCACTGATGACCATGACCTCTTTGAAATGTTGATTCCGGCCATAATCTCCCATATGTTTAAACCATAGATTATGATTATTGAAAAACCATCATAAAAAAGGAAAATAAAAAACTATAGGTACAGTAGCTAAAAGAAGTATCTGTGCTTACTCTGTGTGAAACAATATGATACCTTAGGTTAGTTTATAATCATCTTGAGCCTGACTAGACAGTATGGCATCAAGTACTTTTTGAGAATGGACTCTGTGGTTTGAGGATGCTAGATTGTGTAAAGTGACAGGGAAAATGTAGAAGGATGTCTTTGAGCATTGTTGTGGAAGGGAACAATATCGCACAATGCATGTGTCTTAGCGGTTTAGAGGATGAGTGACAAAAGCGAACAGTGTGTGTGTGTATATGTTCTTGATTGTAGCCACTGTATCATAAAAGAGAAAAAGGATGTACCAAATAGGTGCTTACCTTTATACTTTATTTCTTGAAATAAAGTCTGAATTTGTTTCTGAATTGAAGTGTTTCAGAGAATATCATACATTCCTCTCTTAGCTGATAATGCAAGAAAAAAATTTTGCAGTAAAGATTCTTTTTTTTTGGAATTGTCTTCTTAGTTAACACCTTCTATACAGTTGTACCCCACTTAACGCGGTCAATTGAACCCAGAGGGTCCCGCGTTAAGTGAAATCCGCGTTAAGTGAACAACAGAACATATGGGATTAATTCCAATAGAACCCAGCCCGACCCCCAAACTCCACTTTTTGACGACACATAACTATGTTGTAGTAAAAATTCTATCTTAACTTTATGATGGTATGAAAAAACAAGTAATATAGAAGAGGTTAGGTTAGGAAAGATAAAGGTTAACATAGGAAAAATGAAGGTTACCTAAGAGAAACTAAAAGTTAGGTGGAACACTTACGGTAGTAGAAGAGATGGGTCGGCATACGGGGATGGAGGCTGGTTCCGAGGCAGAGGGCAGATTACTGGCCCTCAGGTGAATCACCATTACTAGGTGAATCAACATCACTGTCACTTACAGTTGTCAGGGCTTCCCTGACAAATCCCTCAAAGTCAACTTCACTTTCACTATCACTGGCTTGGGCTGGCTGTGGTGGGTTGCGGGCGAAGAACTCGGTTATGCTTTGCTGACGGCTGGTGTTGATGTTGTCGTGATACACCTTGATGTACGGCTCCATAGCCTGCACCAGTCGGGTATGGAAGACTTCATAGCGTTCATCGTCATTGTCGCGGGAAAGGACGGACTTAATTTTTTCTGCAAACTCTATGGCACACTTAATATCACTATGACTTAAACTAGGTTCTTCGGAGAATGACGCACCTTCTTCCTCCTCTTCACTGGCGTGTTCTTCTTCCAACATCTCGTCGGCAGTCACTTCAGGATCTTTGATCACCTCCAGGATGTCTTCGTTGGTGGTCTCGGAGAAGCCTTCAGCTGTAATATTGAGCGCAGCTTCTCTGGCAAGGTCCACTGCTACTGCAACAGTCTGAACCTCACCAGTCACAGGTTCACTCCTCCTCTCACCTGGTATGCCATGCAACACATGTCTCCATGCGTGATGAATCGTAGCAATAGTCAGCAGATCCCATGCCTCCACCAAGAAGTCTACAGCTTGTTTAACGTTAAACTTCTTCCAAAATTGTTTGACGAGAAGTTCTTGAGTCACCGCCTCTTGTTCCTTGTCCTCTTCGCTTTTGCTCTCGCTGTCAGTGTCACCCAGCTTACGCAACTCATCCTTGGTGTTGGTAGAGTCGTTCAGGAGCTTGAACTTCTTTGCAGAGTACGCAGCTTTCACATTGCAGATCAACTCCTGGTCCATGGGCTGGATTATTGACGTAGTGTTGGGAGGAAGGAAGACCACTTTTACGTTGGGGTGACGATCCATAAGTAGGGGCGAGTGTCCAGGTGCGTTGTCAAGGAGCAACAAAATATTGAATGGAACATTCTGTTGCTCGCAGAATTTCTTCACGTCGGGAACAAAACAGTTGTCAAACCAGAAGAGGGACAGAGAAGAGGACATCCACGCCTTACGTGCGGTTAGCCAGTGGACATTAAGCTTGTTCATGTCCATATTCTTGTAGGCGTGCGGCTTGCGGGCTGTGTGAATCACCGATAACTTTGGTTTACAGGTACCGGAGGCATTGGTGGTAAACAGGACGGTGATGCGTTCCTTCTGCAACTTCCGACCCCTTACCTTGCTGGCAGACTGGACAACGAAGGTCTTGGAAGGTAACTTTTTCCAGAAAAGACCAGATTCGTCCATGTTAAACACCTGGTCGTCACTGTACTGTCCTTCCTCCATAATCTCACGTAAAAACGGAGGAAAATCTCTAGCCGCCACACGGTCAGCACTCGCTTCCTCACCACCAATGTTGATGTTGGTGATCTTGTTCCTCTTCTTAAACCTATGCAGCCAACCAGAGGAAGCATAGAAGGGTTTGAGCTCTGCAATTCCCAGTTTACGTGTCACTGCTGCGTATAGCTCACGTGCGTACTCCTGCACTGAGCGAGTGTCCACCGCCATGTTGCGTCGCGCCTGACGCACCAAATAACTCACCAGCAAATTTTCCACTTTTGCCAGCACCCTGTTCTGGCAATACCTGATAGATGAAGCACCTGCAGACTTTGTGATTTTCATGTGCTCTTTGATCTTGGCTGCATCCTTCTTGATCGTACGAATCGTAGATTCGTTGACGCCATGCTGGCGCGCGAGATCAACTTGCCGTCTTCCTTTCTCCAAATCTTGAACAATTTGGTACTTCACCTCGTAGCTTAATGAACGTCGTGTCTTCTTTGGCTTAGTGCCGCTGGGTCCAGGTAAGGAAAGGTCTCTCTCTGGGGGCGATGGTGGTCCGGCGGAAGCCATTTTACGGAACAATGGATGCGCGTTAACACGGTGTGGCCTTGAGGGATCAAACTGCCGCAGCTAGGTCAAGCATCGTCTCTCCTCCCTCCCTCCCCGGGGTGGTCACGTCATAATACTTTAAGCCAATTACAGCTAGCAGCAGAGGGGGGTAGGGATGCATGGCCAATCACAGTCCGATACGTCATATGACGTCAGTGATAACGCAACAAAGACACACACTGCGCAACCTTACCGCGCGGCTTGCCCAAGCGGAGGGAGGAGGAGGGAGAGGCGAGGAGCACAGGCAGGCAGGCAGGCGGGTGGCGCGTGGGCAAAATCTAAAAATAGCATCTTGAGCCGGACACTCACCGCGTATATGTGGAAAAAATCCGTGTTAAGTGAAAGTTCAGCTCTGGCAAGGCACCGCGTATATGCGAAAACGCGCTAAGTGAAACCGCGTTAGGCGGGGTAATACTGTAATTGTTTGACCTACATTGGAATTATTTGGGAATTGAAGGTGTTTTATTTTGCAGGGGATGCTTCCTTACTTCATCATTGATGGCTACTTTATCTTTGAGCTTAACTATTCCCTTGACAATGTTTGTGGACATCTGGCTCAAGGGCATCAAGTATTCACTGCTAATTTATATTGGTGCAATTCCCATGATGACATCTTTTATTGCTGTCTCACTTCTCACACATTATGAAAGCTGGGACCCATTGATGGATGGAATGAAATATCTTCATAGAAAGTGTTGGAGAAGAAACCACATGTACAGGTAAATTTAACTTTATATAATTTGAAGCTGATGGTATACAATATTAAAGAAATATAAATTTTGAATTACAGTACAGTGAGTTCTGCTATAACGCGTGTTTTGATAACGCGAATTTGCTCTAACGCGATTTATGAATTCGGAACAATATTTGTATAACGCGATCGCTTGTTTGCTATAACGCGATTTTTGCTTACTATTTCTCCAATTTTGTGGTATTAACTGTGAATATGGTAAAGAAGAATATCTCCAAAAAGCATTCTGATGATAGAATTCCCGGTGATTATCGTAAAAGAAAGGATATAACACTTGAAGAGAAGCTTGATGTTATCAACCTCAAAATCACCCTTCTCCCCCATCAAGTTACATTCATATTTTTTCAAGGTAAAGTGTTAAATTTACTGTATGATTTCATTATTAGATATGAATGTAACATTTATTTAGACTGTGCTATCCTTTGTGTTAGGCTAACTACTAAATTTTTTCGATTTCGAGTAAACTGCACCTAACCCTATTTTCTCCATAAGCCCTGTTATTTCTATTACGCGATTTTCTATAACACGATATTTTACAAGAACACAATTATCGCGTTATAGCAGAACTACCTGTATAGATAATAGATGTACACTTAAGTTATATTTTTTCTCCAGATCTTAAAGAAAATATGATAAGTTTTTGTCTCGTAAATGTTATATTGCTTTTAATTTCTGCATATTGGCATCCATCCAAGTGTTTGCCTTGGATGAATCTGTATACTGTACAGGGGCCCCTGAATAATGAACGGGTTACATTTCAGGACCTGTTCATAAGTTGATTTATTCATAACTCAGAACCTTGTTAATAACGCAAAATAAAATATGAATAAAACACCCATCCTTATCTGTCAAATCATAAAATTTATAATGCCATAAGTAACAAATAATGTATGGAGGTGTGCTGCTGAACAAAGTAGTTTTACCTTGGGAAGTACAGTACCAGTGATTTTATTATGAGTAGTATTAGGATCACAATAATTCCATGCTTGTTGTTTGACATCATAAGATGGGTGTACAGTAGGGAGATGGTGCAGGGTGGTGATGGTTAGTTGTTGATCGGTGGTAAAGAGAATACGACATGCACGATTCTCAATAAATCATTTCTTACCACACACACCATTACTAGGAGTCCACCAGGCATTCTTCGTTCTTCTGCACCACTACCACCATCACCACCACGCACTGTGAGAGACGCCATTACACCAATTCCAACTTTTCTGTCCCTATATATATCTATCTCCCTTTTATACTTTTCTCTCCCTCTCTCTTATCTCTCGCTTCCTACTACTCACCACATGAGGGCGGCACCAGGTGTGAGATTGCATCATTTGCTACAGGTAACCTTTTCCCCTCCAGTTAAGAACCAATTTCATCGTCAACTTGAGAAAGACCACCTCACTCTTGCGGTGACCCGTCTTAACACACGATTTGATGGTCGTACTGCAGCACCGATTCTGGGAGTGTCTACACACACACACACACACACATGCGCGCGCGCGCGAGAGAGAGAGAGCAATAGCTTTCTTTGTTTTCGAGGAGTCAAATTGGTTTGTCGATTAGGGACGATCATGTAGATAATCATGTAAATTAATATTTGAATGTGATCATACCTAACCTAACCTAGCCTAACCTAACCTAAGTACAATTTGGTTATGATAGTAAACGACGCTTTATTTGTAAAGTGAGCAACTGGCTCCAGGTAAAGCGTGTTAAAGGCTACCGCACCTGACGTAATCATGTCTGAGCTGATGATGTTAGATCGGCCGAGCATTTTTACTTTGTTTCCAATTATCGTTTTCATGGAAGAATTTCATTAACACATCATCACTGTTATAAGTTCTTTCGTTAAGATTTATTCCTGAGTGGTAGTGGCAATTGGTGAAGGTGGTTTTAGGTGCTAGTGGTGAGAAGTGGGTGGTGGTGGTGGTGGTAGAATAGGGTGATTGTGGTGATAGGTGGTGGTGATGATAAGATAGGGTTGTTTTGATGGCAGGTGGTAGTGGTGGTGATATGTGGTGGTGGTGATGTTGGTAGAATAGGGTGATTGTGATGATAGGTGGTGGTGATGATAAGATAGGGTTGTTTTGATGGCAGGTGGTAGTGGTGGTGATACGTGGTGGTGGTGATGTTGGTAGAATAGGGTGATTGTGGTGATAGGTGGTGGTGATGATAAGATAGGGTTGTTTTGATGGCAGGTGGTAGTGGTGGTGATGTTGGTAGAATAGGGTGATTGTGGTGATAGGTGGTGGTGATGATAAGATAGGGTTGTTTTGATGGCAGGTGGTAGTGGTGGTGATACGTGGTAGTGGTGGTGGTGGTAGTGGTGGTAGGTGGAATGAAGGAGAAGTAACGGGTGAAGAAGAATGACAGTGGAAGCAAATATCAGGAAAGAAGAAGAAGGATAACAAAAACAGGAGGATAAAGATTGAGAAGATAAGTGTAGGGAGAAATGAAAGAAAAACCGAGCAGATAAGACAAATGAAGGAAGTGGTTGATGGGGTGATAAAGATGTGAGAGGAAGAGACGAAGATAAAGGAGGAAAACTGAATGGACAGACAAAAAAGTGAAGTGAAAATATTCGGAGAGAGAGAGAGAGAGCTTTTGAACAGTGAGAGATAGTTGGGATGCAGAGTGTAAGATATCACTGGAAGTATCAGGGAAAGATTAGATCAGGGTACGAACGAATATATTGAGACTATACCAGGAACTGAAACTGATGAAATAAAAGTGCATAAAAACAGCTTGTTTATGAAGCTTCTGACTCAAAAGTTCACAGATTCAATCTCCATATTACTTTAGATCAGTTCCAGGAACTTTTGTCCGCGACTGTACTGGCATGTCTATAAAAATTCTTAAATTTTTACAGAATTAACTTTGAAGGTTTCCTGTGTCTGAGAATTTCGTTCAAATGTTGTATGTCTGTTAGTGACGAGCTTCATGTACACACAACTAAGAAGTATCTATGGATGGGTCCGATGAATTACAAAATGAACACTGCGACTCTTGTTGTCTCGGTAACGTTGTCAAAAACCTTCGTCCGCTGTGTCATAATGTCTAACACAAAATTGTAAAGACACTACACCTATAATATTCCTTCAAAAACTCTCTCTATTTCCACCCCCATCTATCCACCCCTCTCTCTCTCCCTGCTCTTAAAACATGCTATACAGGTATGGGTAAATGTGTGAAAATCCTTCTTATCTTCCAGTAATTTCAGCCTAAATGAACACAGCCTAATAAATCCACCATTGCAGTAAGGATTATCTACAACTCTCTCTCTCTCTCTCTCTCTCTCTCGTGTCCAAAGTACAGGGGCAGCAGCTAGTGTAAAACTTGACAGACAGAAAGACAGGCAGACAGACGGACAAAGAGAGAAGCTTAGTACACGTGCTATGAGAAATACTTTGTTACAACCTCAGTAATAAAAATTCACCAAATTGCTCCTACATAAAGTAGTATGTGTGTGTGTGCATATGAAATGTTTTTACTGTCAAATTATAATTAGTGTGTCGGTACTGAGGCTGGTGGCAGGATCTAATTCGCTCATATATATATTAAATTCCTCCGTGACATCTAATAGGTTAGGTTATGCTAGGTTTAACGCTTTGTTTATTGTCACCTTCATTTCGTGTTTTTTTTCTTCAAATATTTCCTGTTTTGGGTAATCAATTAGTGTAGGTTCAGGTGAGGTAGAGGTTACCTGTGGACAGTGATGTGTTTGTTGTCGTTACTTACTACTACCATAAGCACCACCATTAGTTACCACCACTACCTCCTACTACCAGCCACACCACCATTACCATCACCACCATCACAAACATTACCACATCCTTCTACTACCCCCCCCCACCACTTACTACCACCATCCCCTACCATCACCACCATATTGAACCACAAACACCACCAGCGTCATTGACACCACTAACATCACTAATACATGAATTTATCCACAAATATCCACACACGTCCGCACTACCATAATAACAAACGCACTCATAAATATCAGTACAACACACACACACACACACACACACACACACACACGTATACACCAAAATACATACACAGACATACTCATATATACAGCAGGTAATGAGACTTATTTTCCCATATATCTGGTAAATTTACATGTTGGTATTTTCTGAACAATTTACATATAATACTTACCATTAGTCGCTGCCTCGCCCACCGAAGGCCTCCAGACAGTCGTGTGTGTGTGTGTGTTTGAGCGAGAGAGCAGAACATCCATCCAAACAGCATTTCACAGGATCACAGAAGCAATTTTACCTGACCAACCCTGACTAACAACTCCTTCACTGTGGATGTAGGTTAGGTTAGGTTGAGTTAGGTTTGAGTTAGACTAAATTAAAAGCTAAGTTAAGTTATTTTGAGTCGATGTCGAAGGCTTAGTTGGTCACTTAAAATGCATTCTCAAATAATGGATGACTTATCGGTTAGCTTAAATCCCCTCCCCTCGCATACACTACCGGGGTCATTTTCTTAATGGTGCAGACGATGGATGAGAGCCAATGAGGATTTTACTGAGTCCTCTGTGAGCCCTTGAGTGATGCACGTCCTGTTTCTCTGATGCAGTAGTGGAAAATTATGCTTCTTTCTTTCTTTCTTTCTTTCTTTCTTTCTTTCTTTCTTTCTTTCTTTCTTTCTTTCTTTCTTTCTTTCTTTCTTTCTTTCTTTCTTTCTTTCCTTTCTTTCTTTCTTTCTTTCTTTCTTTCTTCTTTCTTTCTTTCTTTCTTTCTTTCTTTCTTTCTTTCTTTCTTTCTTTCTTTCTTTTTCTTTCTTTCTTTCTTTGCTTTCTTTCTTTCCTTTCTTTCTTTCTTTCTTTCTTTCTTTCTTTCTTTGCTTTCTTTCTTTCTTTCTTTCTTTCTTTCTTTCTTTCTTTCTTTCTTTCTTTCTTTCTTTCTTTCTTTTGTCTTTCTTTCTTTCTTTCTTTCTTTCTTCTTTCTTTCTTTCTTTCTTTCTTTCTTTCTTTCTTTCTTTCATTT